CGGAGTTGCCAAATTCTTGGCGAGGACCTGCCGGGGCTTTGGGTTTACATTCTCGCGATTTTAGGCTTTAGGCGAGTCTAACCCTAGGGCTCCAAGTATACAAATAGTACCTACTTTGGGGTCTAAAGTCTATAAATAGTACCTACTTTGGGCTATTTGTTGGTCGCAATTTTAAGATGCGATAGCATGCAGAGGCTTCATGCAGTGTGGTTACTCTGAATTGTCGGGGCCTCCGTGCCGGCAGCGTAAGAGATATAACAGGTCCAAAAGTACTCGCAAAAGGATTCGACCCGATGCCAGGCCCTAGTAGCTCTAAAGCTGAAGTGCCGAGTTCTTGACCCTTCGGAAAGCTTCGCCAAAGCACCTTGGCGACCACAGAACCACCAGTCGCTTGGAATGGTTGAGGAAGGCAGCTTCCCAGAATACCCTTCTTCTTCAGCTCAGCTTGTTCGGGACTTTGTGCAATGCAGAGCTTGTCCAGAAAGACCATGATAGGTGGAAGCACGGTGCTTCGAAGTCTCTGCCAGAAACATAGGAAAAAACAAGTGAACGACATAAACCAAGCATGAGCTGGGTCGGTAGTTTGGCAGCACCCCTTCAATCCGAGCTACAGCGATCAAGGGGCAAGCCACAATAGCTGCCACAAGTGCTGCTCTTGAGTTGTAGACAACGAGGAGAGTGCACAGCTTGGTCCAGCGGGATGTCTGCTAATCGTGACTGAGGAAATCGTCGAAAGAGTCGGCTTGACGACTCAGCTTGTAGTTTGCTGCGTCAACACGGAACATGCCAGGGTCCGGTGGCTTCCAATGCTTCGCCCACCCTCCCAAGCAGACGTGCAAGGGCACTCCACGCAGCAGCTGGGGCTCCAGTGTGGTTAGCAGCTCTGGTGCTCCCATCTCGCAACGTGTGCAGCGGCCAACGGGTTCAAATGTGGCTACAAGTGCTTGAATGATGTCATTCTAGAGACCAGTCACAGGTCTTTCTAGCTACAGTGAGCCTCTACAACCTTCGCTGCTGCTACTGCTGCTCCTTCCTGCTACTGCTCCGCGGCTGCAGCTACTGCTGCTACTGCTACTGCTACTGCTACTGCTACTGCTACTGCTACTGCTACTGCTACTGCTACTACTACTACTACTACTACTACCACCACCAACTTTTTCAGGGCCTGGAGCAGGGATGGATGTTGCGGAGGAGAGCAGCTCTGAGCTTCAGGGCCACCCTGTCAGGCGCAAATGCCGGATGCAGGTCGACAGGCACTAGATCTTAGGGTTTAGGGTTTAGGGTGTAGGGTGTAAGGTTTAGGGTTTAGGGTTTAGGGTGTAGGGTTTGGGGTTTAGGGCTTAGGCACTGGATCCTTCCGTCGTCTAAAGTTCAGGTGCAGCTGCTTCGGGTGTGGGATTAGGAATAGCTTTGCAGAGCTAGGCTCTGACTGGCCCGGCTATGTATGGAGTTGGTCCATACTACATTTAGTGTATATTTGGGCTACTTCATAAGTCAAATCAGCCTCCCTTAGGTAGATCCTAAACAGCAGGTCCGAAGTCCTTAATGACAGGTTCCGGGTTTAGGGGTTTGGGGTTGAGGGTCTTTTGGGCTTATGGGTTTAGGGTTCAGGGTTTATGGGCTTATAGGTTTTCGCTTATTTACTTTGTTTGGCCCAGATAAACCCTGCCAGCTTGCCTGCTTCATGCGTACGGTCGCCAAGTGGTTCAGTGCCTCGGAAGGGCACGACTGCGATTGAGCCGTGCCCCTATTATGATGGTGATGATGATGGTGATGATAACGATGATGATGGCAGCTAGTCTTGGCAGTAGCGACGATTCATAAGATGAGCAGCATAGCCTGATGATAGTGATGAGTGTAGCGGTGCAGGTGGTGGTGACAGGGGTGCTAGTTGCAGTGTTTGTGTAGACACTTGAAGATGCTCAAGCTTCGTCAAAAGTATCGGGGTGCCTTTCATGGAAAGGGCGGCGCAAGAGCTGTGTCCAGACATGACCTGACATTTAGCTCCATCCAGTCGCGGCACCACCTCGCAAAGCCTATCCTGTTCCACCCTTGTCCCGAAAGCCCGTTTAAGCGTACAACCCACAGCCCTCATCGTTCCGATCTTCTCGAAATGTGAGCTTCATAAAATTTGGTAAACTTCTTGCCAAGCCCCAAGATCAAAATCCCCAAGAAGGCCTTGATTTGCCAAAGGCCACCACGAGCCCGGCAGTACGGAAGCACCTCTGCAAATCAGATATGTTGCGACTTTGATTCACAAGCATCAGCAGCATAGAGTAGTAGTAGTAGTAGTAGTAGTAGTAGTAGTAGTAGTAGTAGTAGTGGTAGTGGTAGTGGTAGTGGTAGTGGTAGTGGTAGCAGTAGTAGTACTAGTACTAGTACTACTAGTAGTAGTAGTAGTAGTAGTAGTAGTAGTCGTAGTAGTAGTCGTAGTAGTAGTCGTAGTAGTAGTAGTAGCAGCAGCAGCAGCAGCAGGAGTAGCAGTAGGAGTAGCAGAAGCAGTAGCATTAGCAGTAGTAAGTTGTAGTGCTAGTAGCAGTAGCAGTGAGCAGCAGTAGTAGCAGTACTAGTGGTGGTGGTGGTAATATTCGTGGTAGTAGCACTCTGCAGTGGTGGTGGCGGTGGTGGTAGTAATCGTGATAATAGTAGCAGTAGTAGTAGTAGTAGTAGTAGTAGTAGTAGTTGTTGTTGTTGTTGTTGTCGTCTTCGTCGTAGCAGTAGATCCGTAGAAGCCGTGGTTGTAGCAGTAACGAGAGTCGACGACGGTGGTTATCCTTCTCATTACCCCTCTAAAAGGTGCGAGACAGCAAATCCCTATCTAAGTATGTCATCACAAATGTGAACAAGGATGGATTCGGAATGATCGGGCTTCCAGTTCTTAGGGCGAACCGGGCTCTATCCGAAAAAGACGGGCCTTGTGCGTGATTGGGACAGGCACGAAAAAGAGGGTTTCGGGCATCGAGTCCATGCTAGCGTGAAAAAACACAGGGCCTACTCTTCATACAACTCGTGATGCCTAAATATAGCTAGCTAATGCAGACATGCACAACACACACACACACAAGCACAAGCAAAGCAACAACAGAGAAGGACAGAGAGAGAGAGTCAGAGAAAGCTGACTCTTGCCCAAACGCAGCAAAGACCTGAACTGATAAAGTACAAAGCTGCACCTAAGACACCCTGAGAGACCAAACCCAAACCCAAAACCCTAAAGACCCTGGCTTAGGGGTTAGGGTTCAGGGTTTAGTATGTTGGGCCTAGGGTTCATTATTCAGGGTTTAGGGCTGAAGATTTCGGCTTTAGGGTTTAGGGTCAAAGGGCCTTAACTAGCAGAGAGCTATGTAAGGGGATACTGTTCCCAAGCAGCTAATCATTCAGCGGTCTATATGATCACTGCATCATAACAACCCCATAGATCATGACCACGGAGACTCTGAGACCCTGGATGCCTAGACGAATCTGGGTGCACAACTGTTTCAACCACGGCTCCAGCTTTGTCAACCTCCGCCGACACTGACATGAATTAAGTGTTTGCGGGTGTCGCTATACTGTTGATGTACAAAATTCTGCATGACCCACATATAGGATAGTACCATGAATCCCATAGTTTAGGTATATAAGGTCATGCAGGATTTTGTCCATCAACCGTAGGTTGCCTTTTCTTTTTATCGTGATGGCAGTTTTTTGGTTTTTGGTTGAAGAAGGCGTACCAGCTGCAGAGTGTAGCGATGTTTAGCGTTGGTTGTCCTTGCTGGGCATTCAAGTCTTTCCCAGAGAGCCAAATACCCCTTATATTTGGAATATACCTTAAATTATAGGGGCCTTAATATCATGATCTAAGATATATTCCTCAGTTAAGGAGTATTGGGCTCTCTGGTTTGGTGTTTGGGGAGTTGGAAGTTTCAGGTGAAGGGCTCGTGGTTTCGGCTCCAAGGCTGTTAGGGTTTATGGTATAAGGCTTAGGGCTTAGGGTGTAGGGTTTAAGGGTTTAGGATGTGAAGTTTTAGGGGCAAAGGGCTTAGGTCCGGAATGAGTGCCGAATCTGAGTTCATCTGAAGCTTCTGTCCCGGATAATAAGCCCTTTATATGACCGTTCAACTTACAGAGCTTGCAAGCAGCAAACAAAAACCTAACCAAACCTGCGACGGCCAAAGCTGTGATTCATGGCACTAACTAGCTGTCAAGTTGCCGTCTTGAAGCCTCGTTCGTCGCGAGTGACAATTGTTGTGATGACTACGACCATTGGTACAGGGCTTGCTTGTTATGATGACTCTGACCATAAGTGACCATAGTCTATGCTCCTGCATTTCTTATCACAGCCACGGGATTTTTGCATGGCTCGGAAACGAAGCTACGACGATGGCGATTTGCCGATCGGCAACTCTGGCAATGTGAAACGCGGCAAATACCCGCAGCGCGAGGCTACACTATCCCGCATCCACTTAATACCTAAAAACACAGAGCAAAACAGACAACTAGATAGTCTAACACTGCCACGAAACGCACATGGATCATGAAAACATTGGCTGGGAATGTGGACAACTACAGGGCTCGAATCTCGAGTCTTGTCCTTCCTGCTTCTTCGAGAAGCTTCAACCGTAACACTACCAGTACTCTCAAAGAGACAACGGCATCGACACCCTAAAGATATAGATCTGCTGGATCCAAGTTTGATAAGACCTCAACAGCCCTAAACTCTCATATCATCTTCGCTACTTCAGCCATAAAACACCCTTCTAGACATCAGCCCACCGCAGCAACCCAACAAGTTTCAGCCATAGGCTCCAGGCCGACGAATTTCTCCCCGCCCTCATCTCTAGTGTGTCAGGCCCGCGTCGTCTGCTTGGGCCAGAAGCCGGTGTACGTCAAGTGGTAGCGACCCCCACGGTGGTCGAAGTTCGGATCTTGCCTTTAGGCTTAGGGTTTAGGGTTTTCAAGTTTGGGATTTGAAGGTTTCCACAATCCCTAAACTTTAAAGCTTTCAAAGGCTTGCAGGGATTGTTGTGACGTGTGGGTTGCTTGCGGGAGACTTGGCGTTGGTCATCAAGCTTGGGTTGCCGACTCATATTGGGGCCTTAATAGTTTTTATATACTCTTCTGACTAAGGAACTCGCAGGAATAATGCTGGTAATTACCTATTCTGACCCCTATCTTAGATAGTCCGAAAACTTTTTGCTCAATCGTTTCAATAGGATTTCCGGATCAATTATCGAAGTAAGTAACTACTCCAAAATCTTTGGTATGTGCGCCTTAGGGATTCTTGCTGAGGTCTCGCTGCGGTCAAGGAGACAATGACAAATTTAAAGTTTGGGGCTTTGGGCTCTGAGTTTCCGGGTTTGGGGTTGTGGGCGTTGAACTTAGCGTGTAGGGTTGGAACACACAAACATGTATTTAGAGTCTTGAGACGTGCGGCGGAGACCCTCCATAGGTAATTAGAAAGTTCAGGTCCTTTCCTCCAGGGACCTCCGAAGGAGGTGCCCCGAGCGAATTTTCTGCCGCCCCCCCCCTGGCCGGCTTAAATAGGGTTTATTTGGAAGCTGGGAGTGGTGTATTAATATAGACAACAGAACCCAACCCGGCAGGGTAACCCTGAATTGTCACCCAGCACACCCCGAGCCGTGCCAGCCTGACCCACCCTCACAGACCCAGCCCCACCAGCCTGGTCCCCGTCCCCCCAGCCCGATTGGAGATACATTGATATATTTGCAACTATCTAAATTGTTTTATTCGGCCCCAAGTAAATAATCTAAATATTGGGAAGAAGCTCAATATCTAAATTGTTTAAGTCATGTAATTCATGGCCCCATTTAAATAATTTAAATAATTTAAGTATTTTACATACTTTAAACCCGGAGGAGGGGGGTTCCAGGGGGGTCCGGACCCGGGGAATGAAATAATTTAAATAATGTAAATCCGGAGCCTCCCTCCATATTCAAAATATTTAAACTATTTATTTAATTCCCGCGGTCCCGCCCTCCCCCCGACCCCCTCCTCAGGATTTGGCAGAATCTCTGGACTTGTTTCTTGACGGGGCATGCAAGCTCACCCATGCGATCGACAGAGGCATCTGTCAATCTGGGATTGTCCCGTACGGACGAACCCTCGCCGCAAGACCTCGCAAGCCTTACAATATTGAGAATGTTTGTTGTGAAAACCTGGGTACCTCTCGCCCTTAGCGTTCGGCTTCCCACGGTGGTTTGGGGCATCTTCTCCCGGCGCTAGGAAAGGGAACGTCTCCTTGCTACGACGAGGCGGTCTTCGAAGCAGGCCCCTGCACCACCTTACCGCCACCCTTCTCCGTCTTCGGCTTCTCGACTGCAACAGGCTTGGCCTCTTCTGCCTTCTTCACTGGGACCTGTGCGTCACTTTCACTGGAGCCGCTGGAGCTGTCCGAAGAACTGTCCCCGAGGTGAGGACTCCTGGAAGACCCTTCATCCGACAACTCCCCCCCAGTTCCTTGGCCATCTTCTCCAACTTCCGAACCTTCTTCAAGGACTTTTTGCACTTGGGGATTCGCCGCTTGATGGTGGCCTCCAAATCTCCGGTGTCCCTAGCGAATTCGGCTCGTGCGACACGCAGGGCCCTCATCACAGCCTCCACGGTCGTCGTCTTCCCCATCACGAAGAGAAGGGTCGCTGAGAAGATAAGCAAGGACGAAGCTTGAATGGCAGGCTGGCTGCAGGAACGCATGTGTTCGCTACCAACGATACGAATGCTGAACTTGTGTCCGCTACTATTTAAATATTGGGAGTGAGCTCAACATTTAAATTATTTAATTCCGGCCCCAATTAGATAATTCAAACAACTTAATTAATTTAAACAATTTAGATCCGGAGGAGGGGGGTCCAGGGGGGTCCCGGACCCGGTGAACTAAATACATTAAGCAATTTAAATCCGCAGCCTCCCTCCATGTTTAAATTATTTAATTGCCGGGGTCCCGACCTCCCCCCCCGGACCCGCCTCCTCCGGATGTAAATTATTTAAATTATTTAATTCCCGGTCTCCACCCCCCATGGAACACCAATAGGGTTTATTTGGAAGCTGGCTCTTGTGTGTGTAATATGGCAAGGGAGCACGGTATCCTCTCTATAATACAAGAGCCAGCTTCCAAATAAACCCGGTTTAAGCCACCCCCCCCGGCGCCCATGAAGGAATTCCGGATCCCGCACAAAAAACACACGCGTCTTCCCAATGTCAATGCGTCCGTCACCACTTGACTTAGAGGTTCGGGGTAGTACCTATCTACAACTGGATTTATACCGCCGTTGTATCCTAGTACTAAGGAGCTCACTTATCAAGGGCATCTAGACTGTAGGAATAATCCGGCTACCAGTAAGCGACGACATTTACGAGGTCTCGCAAAACAAGTAAGAATCGGGAACCCCACAAATGTAAGAATTTGTGGAGCTACCGGTGGACCCTTTTCCCCTAAACCCTAAACTCCTGAAGCCTAAACCCCAAAACCCTATGCAAAGCCTTCAAGTAAGTGATGTTTGTCATGGCATGACAGCCTTCGGTCGGAGGCTCCGCACTCCCAAACACTGAACGGTTTTGATCGGATTTAGGCGCTTAGGGTTTAGCGGTTTAGGGTATAGGAGCTTTAGAACTACATCCTAAATCCCGAACCCGTTCATGGTTTAGGGTTTCGGGCTTAGGGTCCCCTAATAATAGGGGCCGGAATAATTCGAATTGAGTTTTAAGGCCCCTTATACTCTAATTACAATAAGGACCCCCCAAAATTAGCATTGGTAATTATTCAGGCCCCTACTCGAAGGCCCATGGGACTTAGTAATTAGGGTTCTAAATAAGGTAACTATACTTATAACCCCAATTAGGGTACTTATAACTGTACTTATTAAGTCCCATGAACCTCCAAGTAACCCTAACCCCAAACCCTAAACCCCTAAACCCTAAACCCCTAAACCCTATACCCCTAAACCCTAAACCCTGAACCCCTTAAAGGGACCCTAAGTGTACTTATTAAATCCCATGAACCTCCAAGTATATCAGGGTCCCCTACGGTTCCACTCACCTCTCAAGGTTCCTAGTGATTAAACCCAAAACCTCCATGCAAAGCTCACCGCGCGAGGCTCCCCCCAAGGCTGAAATTCAGAAATCCGGCTTAGGGTTTCAGGGTTTAGGGTTTAGGGTTTAGGGTTCAGGCAGGTTTAGGTAGGGCTTAGGATTTAAAGTTTAGGGTTTCTGTCAGGTCCAGGATGGTGGACTCGATTTAAGGGTTCCGTTCATCCACGTTCATCCGCAAACCCCATAAGCCCCGTTTCCTAAACCGTCAGCTACAAGTCAGGGTGCCAATCGTGTGGCAGAGGAACTTCACCAAGAGCCTTCGGGTCATAACCTCAAAGGGAGCGTCGGCTTGAAGGAGTAAAGTTTGGGGTTCGAAGTTTAGGGTTTAGGGTTTAGAGCTGAGGGTGTCAAGACTAACACCTGACCTTCAACAACCCAAAGTCTTATAGCAATACCCTAGAACCAATGCTGGCGTCACTCCAGCATGATGAACTTGATGTAGTTAGCGACCTTGCCCTAGGGCTCCAGTTGCAGAATGGTACTTTACTAACCATCTAACACGAAGAACCTGACACATTATTAGGTAACTGGAGCCCAATCATTCTCAAACCACTCGTACCGCAAACCCAATCTGCCCGAGTAACTTGCCCACAAAATTTCCCGGGAAAGCTTCGAAAGCTTACGGCGAAGCTTCGTGGGAAGCTGGGGAGAAGTTCTGGCCGTTTGTGAGTGCGAGTTGGGTTTTATCCGACACCTTTCTCGCACAGGTGTGGCTCCAGCCCATGGTTCTCAGACCAGCTTGGTTGTAGTTTTGAGGCCATCAACGCGTATTTATGCATAGCTGCCTCTGTAGTAACCTGATTTTCCCGAAGTGCCCTCTAGTTCATCCTGAACAGTAAACTCTAGAAGTAACACCGTAACACCGCAGGTATGAATGCCAAACCCTTCAAAGCCCGGAGCACGAAACTGAAAACAGACCCTCGACTGAAACCCTAAACCCTAAACCCCTCGAGCGAACCCCCAGTTTGGCGCAGGTTTCCGGGCTTGTGGCTCTAGGCATGTAGGGGTCATGTCCGCTAGCATACCGTGCTTTGCTCTCTACGTACACAAGATTTTCTGAGTTGTACAGATTTTCGTCTTGTTCTGGCAGGATTCAATCGTAGGTCCACGTCTATATTGAGAGCCAAAATGGCACAGTAAGCCGGGCCACACGTGACCACTTCTTCGTCCATGCCTTGGGTCCCACTCCAAAACGCTGAGGCTCCAGATTGCTTAAAGGTTCATGGGACTTAGTAACTAGGGTTAACTGTACTTACTAAGTCCCATGAACCACCAAGTGTGCTTGAATTGCCATCTACGGGTAGCTTTGGCTTTGGTCGGCTGATTGCTTTGAGGCACACAGCCTTTTCCGGTCGCGAAGGGTTGGCGTAGGCTTCGTGAGTACCAGGGCCCCGGGATGCCCGGGTTGAATTTTGGAACGGACATGCTAGATCAAGAGGGCCGCTATTCAGCTGGCTGTGAATCCTGTGAAGACTCTAACAAGACATCATGCGCAAGAAAGGGCAGAACTTCAAGACAGCTGATTTACTTGTCTCGATGCCCACGAGCCGTACTGTTGAACCCTAAGTCGAACCAGCGTAGGAGGGTTCTGTATGCAGAACGATCGACTGTGGAACTTGGGTTTTAGGGCCTTTTATCGGGCTTCGGGGCTTAAAGCTTCAAGTTGCAGGAGCTTGTTCCAGGATTTGGAGTTGCCAGGCGAAGGCTTGAATCAACCAGAGTTGCAGCTCTTTCGCATGGATCTTCGAACACCCAACAGGCTGAACTCAGGATTGTCGACCCCAGCAGCATGAAGAATATAGGAACCCAAAGCATGAATAATATAGTCAGGAACCCAAAGCTCTCATTGCGAACCATAAGTGGGTGCAGTTGAACCAGGGATGTACATCACAGCTCCAGAAGCTAACGATCATGATATGTACGTTTTGACAAGGCGCACCTAAATTACAGACTCCACATCGATTAAGCCCCCAAAAATTCAAAAACTAAACCCTAAACCTTAGACCCTAAACCCTAAACCCACTTAAACCCTGAACCCCAAACCCTCGCCGAAAACTCTTCCGGCCAGATGCTGTAGTCTCGCGCGAAACGCACTGTTCCGTCCTGAAGGCTGGCTACACGGCTTGTGGCTTCAGGGGCTGAGTGATCCCTAACCCCCAAAGTACCTACTATATAGGGCCTTAAGGGCTCTAGTACCCTATATAGTAGGTACCTGGGAGGGTTAGGGATGATATCAAGCCTCACCAGCTTGAAAAAAATTAGTACAGCGCAACCCATACAGCTTTTAACGATAATGATCCTGTGTTGAGGTTGCACTTTGTTTACTTCGAAGATGATGGGATTACGCATACAGGCTGTCTTCGGGCCAATGTGAACCAGCATGGACTTTAAGGGTGTAGGAGGGTACAACATGCTATCACAATCATGACAGGGACAACACACAACTATAAACAGCCCCCGCATATCAGCAACATTTCAAACCAACAAGACAGCATTATCTCTCTCTCTCTCTCTCTCCCTCTCTTGCCTCTCTCTCTCTCATATGTATATATATATATATATATAAGTGTGTGTGTGCTATATATATATATATACATGTATGTATGCTCACATAGACAGGCACGTATATACTAAACCTCCATCCTTGACATGGTTGCGCTTCACATAAGATACGGTTGATGGACAAAATCCTGCATGACCCTATATACCTAAACTATGGGATTTATGATGCTATACTATGTTTGGGTCATGCAGGATTTTGTCCATGAGCAGTACCAATGACAAAGGCTGTTATGCCGGCCTTCGGAAGCAATGACTACGGAACCTTGGACTCTTAAGGGAACCTTGAAGAGGTGCCGTATAACCTCAGGGTTTAGGGTTTAGGACTTAGGGGAAAAGGTCTGTAAAAAAGAACCGATTTGGGAAAGAAGCGATTTAGGGAGAAGGATTTAGGGTTTAGGGTCTGTAACCCTGAACCGGATGTAGGGTTTACGGTTTTTTGGGTCTGTAACCCTGAACCCATTAAAGGGCTTAGGGCCTTTAGGGTCGGTAACCCCCCTTAACCCAAAACCCCAGTCCTTGGGAAGAAGGGCCTTAAAGCCTAAAACCCTAAACCCTAAACCCTAAGGCCCTAAACCCCCAGTCCTTGGGAAGAAGGGCAAGCATGTCTCTAAGGGTGATCTTGCCGAAAGGATCTTCGAGATGAAGGTTGCTGACATCCTCAGCGTTCGGGTCTAATATAGGGGCCTTAATAATTAGAATGGGGTTTTGGGGCCCATTATACAATAATTATAACAAGGAACCCCCAAAATAGTATAGGTCATTATTGAGACCCCTACATTAGGATGATTTACCTTAAACCCTAAACCCTAAACCCTTTAAGGGCCTTAGGGGAGGTGGGTCCAACGTTTGAGGTTCTTTTAGGGTTGCTTTGGTAAAGCCCTTCGGGGTTCAAGATTGAAGGCTCGTGTAAGCCGGCTTTGAGGATCACATCTTCGGGGTTTAGGGTTCAGGGTTCAAGGATCCGTGAAATGACTTGTTCAAGCGATCGCTGGACAGGGTATTTCGCAGGAAACCCTTTCAGCAAACTAGGTGCGCTGCTGCGCGGCCAAATGGTGGCCGATTCGGTTTATTTGCAGATGCAGGTGGGTGCAGACTATCGCCTTCAATTCAGACGAACACTTGGCATGTATCGCAGCTGCGGTACCTGCATGTCAGGTTGGTCATGCCCTGTCCGCAAGATGTCTTCCAGTCTAAAATGTTGTGCACTCGTCGCCACGGAAGAACCCTGGGGCTCCAAACAGCCCAAAGTAGGTACTATTTATAGACTTTAGACCCCAAAGTGGGTACTATTTGTATACTTGGAGCCCTAGGGGAAGACACCAGACATCGAACCAGTAAGACCCCGCAGCATAGGGGTGTCCGGATGGCAGGAAAGCTCAGGGTGGTTTGGAATCCTGAATTCCTGAGTATACTCTTATACTACAACATGATACAGTATGGGAGTTTCAGAAAATTAGGGTACCTTATTTGGGGGTCCTTATAATAGGGATCCTATTATTTAGGGTACTATATTACACAGTTGGTTCTTTTACTTAGGT